ATCAGATATAACAAAAAATTTTTGTGTATTGTCACCGGCTGCTTTATTAATATTAACATTAACTGCATTAGCTAATGTAATTATGTCTGAATCTGTTGTTGCTTTTAAATCATTGTAATCCGACCAATAAGTATTAATATGATTTTTTAAATAAATTGCTCCTAAAAAAAACAAAAAAAGAAAAATCAATATTTGTTTCATTTAATAAAAATTGAAATATTTTTTACCAGCTTGTCTAGCTCCCATATCACATTGATCATTAAGAATAATCTGCACAAGACATGGGACAAAACCAGTTGTTTTGCAGATCTAGATAATCATTGAAAATATGTTAAATTTTAACTTTTATAAACCAAAACCTACTTGAGCAAGTTTTTCTTCAGCTTGTTTACGTAATTGAGGTGAAAGTGTTGCTTGAAGTGTTTCGACTACTGGAGCAAGATCCATTTGATTATAATTGTCTTAAATATTTAACTCGTAAAATAATCACAAATAAAAAAAAAAAAGCAGAAAAAAAAACAAGCAAAATTTTAATGATTATAGAATTAAAACAAAAAGAAAAAAGAAAAGAAAATGAATATCAAATTAAGTTTAATAAAAACTCCCTGTAAAGAGGCATGCAGACAACGAACGAATAGTTCAAAGTAGAATAAATTAACCAATTAAATAAATTTATTAAACCTCTAAAATTTTTCTTTAAAATCAAATTTTCTTTTTTTTTTAAATCAATCAAAAAATTAATATTTTATTATTCTAATATATATTTATATATTCATAGATGTCACTTTAACCATTTAATTTTTTGCCAGCTGTTCTCATTCGATGTTCGATTAGATTTTTATTTTAGTGATCGTTGCAACTGTTTGTATGGTCTATTCAACGTCGCCACTAGCTAAATAGAGAAAGAGGACGAAAATCGAAATGTGTATAATAGGTTTTTTTCTTTTTTTTTTTTTTTTTTTTTTTGTTTTTTCGAATGCCGAAGGGTTCTTTATTTGCCTAGTAAATGAGTGGTTCCTGATTTTATTCATTTTAGGTTTTTTTTTGTTCTATATTATTCAACTAAATACATTTCGTAAAATGCATATATTCATAGATTGAGATTAAAATATTTTTTCATGAATCATATGCATTTATATGTTAAGACTAAATGATAATTGTTCGATGTCTTTTTTTTTTTCTTTCTTTTCTTTCTTCGATAGTTTACGCACTAGTCATATGAATATATTCTAATGCATACACTTTTGTTCGTCTGATGATCTCCTACGCAAGCATCTTCTACTATCTTGTTATTGTTATTTTTTTTGCTTATCTATTCTGTTACCGATGCACTTTTGTTTTTTATTATTTTTTGTTCTTCATACTTCTAGATTGTTAACCTAGAGCCGACATTTTCCTTGCCTTTGGTTTCTTTTTATTATTAATAATAAGAAAAACGAATCCTTACGCGTTTACTTAAATAGAACAAATGTCAGGCTGGGATCAATACGTAACAAGTTTGACAAGTCAAGGTATTACACATGTTGGAATATTTGGTGCTGATGGATCACGTTGGGCTGCATCGCCTAATTTTCCGGTTCGTTTAGTTTATTTTTGGTATATTTCTATTATTTGATAAGAAGTTTTGTTTTTTTTTTTTTGTTTTTATAGACAATCGATAACCTTAAAGAAGAATTGCCGAAAGCTTTTTCTTCACAACCATCAGGCATTGTAGTGGATCGTGAAAAATATATTTATATTCGTAATGATGGCTCTTTTGCTGTCTATCGAAAAGGTGCTGATGGAATGGCTATTGTTAAATTAAACCAAGGTAAACGAAAGAAGAAAAAAAAAATACAACACCATTTTAATTGTTTTTTTTTTATTTTAGCTTATATTGTTTCAATTGGTATAAATCAAAAGCCTGAAACTTTAGTAGGAAAAACGAATAAGATCGGTGACTATTTGAAGTCTTGTGGCTATTAGTTACAATCAAAAATGTTTTTTTTTTGTCCGGCATATCATCTCATCATTAGGCGTCAAAAGGAGAAAAAACATTTTTTTTTTTTTTTTTGTGTGATTCATCATATTTGTTCCTGTTCTTTTATGTTAGTCAATGCTCTGTTTTTTTTTTCTTCTCTCTCTCTTCTACTATTACTTCATCATCTTATTCTTAAACAGCATACACTTTTATAAAAACAAAAACAAAAAAAAAAAAAAAACGATTGATCTAATCATGATTTCTTTTTTTTCTTCTCGTCTTTGTATCATCCGTACTTAGCGCATGAAAAACTATCATAAGTTTTTAATTCGACACATTTTATTGTTCGTTTAAATCATTATATGTGAATGTACGTGCGCTAATTAACGAAAAACATAAAAAAACAAAACAAAACAACTATTAGT